CCCCCACGTGCAACCTGCAGGAACAACAGGGGGGAAAAGGACACACTCTCAGTGAATTCTTCCGGCTGTGTCACATGGGCCTCGCTGGCCTGAAGCCACGGAGAGGTCTCGGTGCCACGCACAACGTTGGAAACAAACACACAATCCGCCCCCTGCACCGTAGGGTACGTCCCGTGTTCTCAAAACACTGGCAAACCGTGTCTCCGGGACAGATAAGACCACAAACTAACTGTTGCTAAGCGAGACGTCGGTTGAGTGACTTTGGCTCCGTTTTACGACCTTCCTCGTCACAGCTGTTCACTGGCACTGGTTCAGTCAGGAACACGGTCATTAAGCGAATCCGGCTTCCCCTTCTGACTTTGCTCGTCAGAAGGTCCCCAAAGGGGATCGAGTGACTCTGGGACAACGGCAACCATCATAAATACGAGTCCATCACCAAGCTTCTGAATTTGGATCACGTGACCCTGGGGACGCTGCGACAGTCGTTAAGTGTGGGGGGAAAAACAGTCATAAGTCACTTTTTTCAAAGGTCACTAAATGAACTGTTGTAAGTCGAGGACTGCCTGTACTGATAGAATAGCTCAGAGTTGGGGTCCTCAGTGCTCTCAGAGCTGGGTGGTTTCCTTGCAGACGTTTCACTACCAAACTAGGGAACGTCATCCATGCTAGAAGGGAGAGGGGTTTGCTTTCATTTTTATATGCAGGTAGTCCCTCGACTTACAACAGTTCATTTAGTGACCATCGGCACTGAAAAAAAGTGACTTATGACCATTTTTCACACTTAGGGCCTTTGCAGCATCCCCACGGTTATATGATCCAAATTCAGCCACCTGGCAACTGACTCATATTTACGACGGTTGCAGTGTCCCAGGGTCAGGTGATTGCCTTTTGCGACTTTCTGACGAGCATAGTCAAACAGGGAAGCCAGATTCGTTTAACAACTGTTATTCTTTCTCTCTCTCTCTCTCTCTCTCTCTCTCTCTCTCTCTCTCTCTCTCTCTCTCTCTCTCTCATCTATAGATAGATAGATAGATAGATAGATAGATAGATAGATAGATAGATAGATAGATAGATAGATAGATAGATAGATAGATAGATAGATAGATAGATAGATAGATAGATATCAGGGGTAGGCAACTTCGGCTCTTTTATGACTTGTGGACTTCAACTCCCAGAATTCCTGAGCCATCATGGCTCAGCTTGGAAACCTCTCCCTTTCCCCTCAGCATGGCTGACTCCGGAATTCTGGGAGTTGAAGTCCCCGAGTCATGAAGGGGCCACAGTTCCCCCGTGCTGGCTCAGGAATTCTGGGAGTTGAAGTCCACGAGTCATGAAGGGGCCAAGGTTGCCTACCTCTGCTTTAGGGCTTCACCAGTGCAACCTGTCTGCCACCTGAGGAAGGTCAGGATTACAGAGCACAGCTGTCCTTGCAAAGAAATTATTTCAGAGACTTTGAGACTTAAATTGAGCTGTTGTCACTAAGAGATAAGCGACGTCTGGGCTTAGTTCACTGTATTTTACAACTGGGGCAGGAAAAACCTGACTATAGCAAATGAAAAGCTCTAGATCAAAGGATGCCCTTTGACAGGTGCCAAAACACAACTCAAAACTCAGCTTTTTTTTATAAGGATGACAACAAGTCCCAGGGCAGAAGTTCAAAATAATAATAATAATAATAAAGTTGGAAGGGACCTTGGAGGTCATCGAGTCCAACCCCCTGCTCAGGCAGGAAACCCTGTACCATTTCGGACAAATGGCTGTCCAGTCTCTTCTTAAAAACTTCCAGTGTTGGAGCATTCACCGCTTCTGGAGGCAGGTGGTTCCACTGGTTAATTGTTCTGACTGTCAGGAAGTTTCTCCTTAGTTCCAGGTTGCTTCTCTCCTTAATGAATTTCCATCCGTTGCTTCTTGTCCTGCCTTCAGGCGCTTTGGAGAATAGCTTGACTCCCTCTTCTTTATGGCAACCCCTGAGATACTGGAAGACTGCTATCATGTCCCCCCTCGCCCTTCTCTTCATTAAACTTAATTAAAACTAGGCAATTTGTTTAAACCAACGTATAGGTTTTCCCAGTGGTGGGAGTCAGCCAATTTGCACCACTTTGGCAGAACCGGTAACTAATTTTTTGTTGCCCAAGCCCAGAATGGACGTCCGGAAGCGGTATCCACACAGAGAACCGGTTGTTCACGGATTTGAATCCCACCACTGGGTTTCGCCATAGAGCAAAGAATAGGATTTGGTTGGTTCTGACCCAACCCATGAAAGATCTCGGAAAACCACTGAACCGTAATACCACTTTATGTTAATACCGCTTTACAAGGCCTTGGTAAGGCCACACTTGGAATACTGCATCCAGTTTTGGTCACCACGATGTAAAAAAGATGTTGAGACTCTAGAAAGAGTGCAGAGAAGAGCAACAAAGATGATTAGGGGACTGGAGGCCAAAGCATACAAGGAACGGTTGCTGGAATTTGGTGTGTCTAGTTTAATGAAGAGAAGGATGAGGGGGGAACATGATAGCCGTGTTCCAATATCTCAGGGGCTGCCACAAAGAATTGGCGGTCAACCTATTCTCCACAGCACCAGAAGGATCTTATTATGGATGGTTATTGTTATGCATTGTATTTACTGACTCCACATGAGGGGGGAAATGATAGCCGTGTTCCAGTATCTCAGGGGCTGCCCCAAAGAAGAGGGAGTCAAGCTATTCTCCAAAGCGCCTGAAGGACGGACAAGAAGCAACAGATTTTATTTATTATTTATTTATTTATTTATTAATTGCATTTATATCCCGCCCTTCTCCTTTCGGACTCAGGGCGGCTGACAAATGATAAAAAGCTAACATACATAATATTACACCTAATTAAAATTTAATTAAAACGAAATATTTGAGAATGTCCAATTAAAAGTAATTAAAACCCCTATAAAATCCCCTAGGCCAGTCCCGCTTGCTGNGACATGGCTTTTCCAGCAAGCGGACCTGACCTAGGGAGGATTTTATATGGGGTTTATTTTTTAGCAATTCGACAGAGACACAACTTTAAAATTTGATCTAATTCGGTTTTATCGGGGGGGGAATGTATTTATGTTTTGTTTTAAATATGTTGTGCGCCGCCCTGAGTCCCGTCGGGAGAAGGGCGGCATATAAATTAAATTTAAAAAAAAAACACAAAAAAACAAAAAAAAACAGCCAAGCTCAGAGAGCACCAAGGACCCTACAGTCCTCCTCCTCCTCCTCCTCCTCCTCCTCCTCCTCCAATCTCACTCCCTTCTAGCACTGATGATGTTACCTAGTTGGGTCATGAAATGTTTACAAGAAAACAGCCAAGCTCAGAGAGCACCAAGGATCTCAGTCTTTTTCCTCCTCCTCCTCCTCCTCCTCCTCCTCCTCCTCCACAAACCCCATTCCCTTCTAGCACTGAGGATGTTACCTAGTTGGGTCACAAAATGTCTTCAAGAAATCAACTCAGTTCAGAGAGCAACAAGGACTCCCAATTATCCATGTAGTAACCAAATGGTTGTGCCACTGTTTTTCTGGAAATTGATTTTTTTTTTTTCTCTTGCTTTTAAGTCTTTCTACTGTCTAACCATCCCAAAACTCTTTTGCTCTATTGTCTTCCCGAGAACAACCAAGATCGGCTAGTTACCGGTGTACATTTTTTCTCCCCCCCCCCAATCCCTATTACAAAGATTAAACATTACACTGCTTTTCAGAAAGTTACAAGTTCCACACTTTAAAACAGGGGGTCCCCAAACCTGGGCAACTGTTAAGACCTGTGGGGACTTCAGCTCTGGCTGAAGGAATTCTGGGAATTGAAGTCCACAGGTCTTAAAGTTGCCAGGGTTGGGGAGCCCTGCCTTAGAAGATCCAACACATTCAAGATGTCAACGCTGCTAACATTGGATGTTTTTGCTTTGACAACAGATGGAGATGCAACCCTTTTCTTATGTTTTACTCTTAGAGTTAGAACTAGAGTTAGATAGGGGGGAGGACTGTGCATAAGAGTTTAGCTAGACATAACAATGCTGAACCTAGTGTGAGAACCAAGGTTATTAAAATAAGAGATGATAAGAATTGGCGGGCTGGAGAGCTGGAGGGAAAGCTCACGGTTCAAACTAATTGGAGAATGTGATTTATGACAGTTAATTAGAGGAGGGATTTGTGCTTTGATGCTATGTGCTCAGGGGAGGGGAATTCAGATTTTGGCTTTGCCTATGTACCTGCCGATGCTATGCTACTCCAATAAAGATTCTTTAAGGTAAACAATGCCTCAAAGTTCTTTGAAGAGTTTTCATCTGTCGGAACCAGGACACAAAGGTTTTTCTTCCCGAGACAAAACTACATCGCTAGACGACACGAAGCGGGCTTTCCTTCCTTACCTCCAGTCATCAGGTAGTCCCTCAGAATGGGCCACCTGAAGTTTCCCGTGAGTGTAGTGACGTACGGACGTATCCCGGGGAAGATCTGGCTGACTCCTGTGGCCTCCGTGCTAAAGTTGCAGAAGGCACCCAGGGACATGATGCCATGTGGGTGGTAGCCAAGGATGTAATTCCTGTTGGGGGCCAGGTTGTGAGTTTTGATCATCTGGGGAAGGAGAGAAGGGGAAAAAAGCAGGGTTAAATGGAAAACACACACACACACACACATACATACACACACACACACGAGAACACACAGACACATACCGTGTTTCCCCGAATAATTAAAACCCAACCGGAAAATGAAAGCCCTAGCGTGATTTTTCAGGACGCTCGTAATAAAGTAGCTAGTGTGAATTCTATCTGGATATGTGGAATTGGCTGTTCATGGCTGACATGCTCCGAATAAAAGCAACTTATATTCTGTGTAATCTTGTCACGGCGTCACTGTTGAATAAAATGTTCATTTGTTTATATCGCCATCAACTGCCCACTTGTACTTAAGTACCAGCTGGCTCATACTTAAGTACTTGGCCACCAGAACACCCAGATCCCTCTCACAGTAGTAGTAGTAGTAGTAGTAGTAGTAGTAGTAGTAATAATAATAATGAAGAAGAAGAAGAAGAAGAAGAAGAAGAAGAAGTAGTAGTAGTAGTAGTAGTAGTAGTAGTAGTAGTAGTAGTAGTAATGGTAGTAGTAGTTGGAAGGGACCTTGGAGGTCATCAAGTCCAACCCCCTGCCCAGGCAGGAACCCTACACCGTTTCGGACAAATGGCTGTCCAGTCTCTTCTTAAAAACTTCCAGTGTTGGAGCATTCACTGCTTCTGGAGGCAGGTTGTTCCACTGGTTAATTGTTCTAACTGTCAGGAAGTTTCTCCTTAGTTCTAAGTTGCTTCTCTCCTTGATCAGTTTCCATCCGTTGCTTTTTGTCCGGCCTTCAGGCACCTTGGAAAATAGCTTGACTCCCTCTTCTTTGGGGCAGCCCCTGAGATACTGGAAGACTGCTATCCTGTCCCCCCTCGTCCTTCTCTTCATTAAACTGTTTTGGGAGGAAGGACACTCACAGGATTTAAACACTCCGCACGAGGGCAACCCCAGGCTTTCCCCGCTGAATCTCACGTTCACACACAGCCTGTGTACTGGAGTAACTTTCTTTTGGCAGCCCAGATCTCCTCCGAAGACCCCAGGACTACAAGGTCAGAAGCCCCTCGTCCCCTTCTCGGTTCTTCCTTCCAAGGCTGCCAAATCGGGGTAGATCCCCTCGGGATCACCTCCCTCCCTATGTCCTGCAAAACTGGAAATTTACATTCGGGCTGGGAAGAGCCAATTGCTCCACTGCCCTGGGACATTTTATCTCCAGAAGTGAGCAAACAGGCCCAAAGGGTAACCTTTGACCCTTGGCACCGGCTTGATCAGCTGTCCCCCACGTGCAACCTGCAGGAACAACAGGGGGGAAAAGGACACACTCTCAGTGAATTCTTCCGGCTGTGTCACATGGGCCTCGCTGGCCTGAAGCCACGGAGAGGTCTCGGTGCCACGCACAACGTTGGAAACAAACACACAATCCGCCCCCTGCACCGTAGGGTACGTCCCGTGTTCTCAAAACACTGGCAAACCGT